AAAAAAAATTTCGTAAGTTGTTTGAAGACATTCTCCACTTTAATTGTGTGGAGTGTTATAGCTTTTTGGTGCATACATCCACACTTGAAAAATCTGAAGAACTTGGATAATTTATTTTCTAGAAAATTTTTCCAAACCTGACAGACTTGACTTGCCTTATTGAAGAGCATAAACTCCGAACTCTCTGCACCAGTACTTGAAGAGCCGTCACAAAATTGCCTTTATACTGGACTCACCGAAGTGAAAAAGCCAGTGTATTAGCCTTTGCCCTTCTTTACGCTCCAGCTGCGGAACTCTGCCTAAATTCAAGGAAATTGCACAGAAAAACAAAGAAAATGTGACAAGTGTTATGTTACGACCTAATATCTCTCGGCATTAAAGATTGTACAATTGCACACGAGAAGAGAGCTTCGGCTGGATGTTAGAAAGCTCTAAAAATGACCAAAGGTAATCAGTGGAATATTGTTAATGCATGTTTTATACTCTTCTGAAATTTCTATCACAATTCTGGTATACACCCAGTCCTATTCATCAACGAGTCTTGAGGTTAGGATCTTGAGAGCACATACCCGTATCCAAAACATTTGTTCAAAAGCTAACCTGGAGGATATGATCTACCACAAGCTCTGAGGTATATTTTAACTTGAGCTTCGCTGATTAATATGGCTGCAGGACTCTTTTTTCTACAGCATAACAAGAAGTTCCGAAAATGGCGAGTTCTACTTGTTGATCTTCTGGAATTTCTGAGATTTTGTGGTGTGAAATAGGCTGTCACATCGCCGGTGAACGAGGAAGGAGTGTAGTATGTTCTCTTGGTTTATGTAAATAGTTTTGTTATACATTCTTCTGCTCGTGAAAATGAAGTTGTAATCTCTTTGGAGGGTACTGCACAGGAGATGTACCCTCGCCCGATAGGGTACATACCGAGAGAATGTGTCTCCTTCTTCTTGCTCATATCTGCTGAAGAAATTCAGAGTTTGCCTTTTGAACACTCTCTTGTGCATTCACAGAACTTGAGTGCTCATTCCTGCAAATGAAGTAGTTCAATGAACTTGGATACCTTACACCTGTCCGGTGGTGAAGCTCCATTTATTCTAATTTCGCTGATTCATAATTCGACCCGCTGCGTTATTCCAGGGTGCCATTTCGAGTGCTTTGCAAGGTGTCGGTGGCATCTCATTACGTTGCGCAACGTATCGAGAAACATGTTCTTGATCCCTCTTGGGTCATTCTTTCTTGTGAAGAAGGTGTTGTCGCATCGAAGCTTTGTCGGCTTCAGATTTGAGCTATTTGTATCAGCAAAGAAAACTATGACAAAAAATCCGCGAATCCGTAAAAATCCACTTGGGAACTTTCAATGGTTATTTAGAGGTCAGCGTTTATTGGCAGCATCAATTTAATAAATATGAGACCAGAATAAGTGATAATGGTTTCTATATACAATATCATGCGAAAAAATTACTGCTTAGCCGAGTTGTTTTGCCATACTAGCTGAGGATATGCTGGGCTTGTGTAAGGAGTGTTCTCCGCTGTAGAAGGATAGCTTTCGTTTCCCAATATGGACGACAAGTAGGTAATGTACCTGTAACGATTTTTTATTGATTAGGACCAGACTCAGGTATCAAAGACCTCACCCCTGAGCAACTCGCAATGTTTCAATTTTTGTCAACTTTGGTTCGTCGGGCACGACGGGGAGAATCGTTCTCAGATGTTCCAATGCGTCGTTCAAGTTGTTCATGCGACGCCGTTCACGAGCATTTGCCTGTAAAGAAGAAATTTGCTATGTGCAAGAGCACCTAGAAACAGCGGTATGAACATTCTGTTTCTTACCTTATCTCTTCGTATCATGCGAGCTCTTTCAATTGTGGCCGGGCTTCTTTTACGACAACGGTACTTCCTCTTCTCTCTCTTGACCTGCAGTGAAGGTAATGAAATGCAAGACAAGAAGTCAGATAAATTTTTTTTCATTTTCACAGGTGAA